CAAGCACTTAACTCATCACTCAAATAGCTTAAACTCAAGCTCAACTAGACATTAAACAAGTTGAGGTCAATAATTTATTAAGGCGAATTGGACTAGCTGACAAAAGGCTTGATTTATTTTATCTTTACATGCATCTAATATTGAGTCAAATGTACATGTCTAGCGATATTCAAAAGGTTACTTGCTCAACTTGCACCAAGTTTAGGCAATTCAGTTCAAGTAAATTATTTTACTAAATATATTATTTGTATTTAATTTTAATTTTAAAATATATTTAAAATATTAATATAAAATAAATATTTTATTATTTTTAAAAAAATCATAGTTAAATGTGCAAGTTGAGTCACGCTGGGACTTAGCTTTGAAAAAAATGGAGACTTGATAGATTAAACTCGATCTGACTGATGGGCACCTCTAATCACTTGATGTACAATTAGAATTAGATTCAAATTTCAATCTGGAATAAATAAAGATAATTGATATAGTATTATTATTTTTATTAACTCATTTGATTTCTATGTAATTTTAGTAAGCAAGTTAGCTTTTTCCACTTATATATATATGGTAAAATCTCTATAAATTAATAACCCTTGGATCATGAAAATTTATTAATTAATTGAGATATTATTCAATCGATAAATTAATAATTTATTAATTTATACATTCATTAATAAATTAATTTACTAAGATATTCTTTATTTTTTTTCAAAATATTGATCTTAATACGTGTATTATATATTGTGATTATATAAATATTACCTAATTAGTAAATTATGAATTATTATTATTTTATTTATTTGTTTAACCAAAACAAGTTCATGAATGTAATTATTCTTATGAAATAGAAGTCATGAATTTATTTATTTTTGCTACAAATTAAAATTACATTCAATGTATACTTAATTAATATATTTCATGGACACTGAGTCAAGCAAAAACATCTATAAAATGTATCACAAATAGTAAAACTAAACGCAATAGCTTATCATCTCAAAGATATAAAAAAAAGTTAATAATACAAATAAAAGCTAAAATATTATGTGATAACAACATAGAAAATCTAAATTGTACCCAAAAGCAACAATTACATTACATAATTTTCCTTACAATATGAGAATACTACACCAGAGCTTCATAATGCACTAAAATGAATTAGAGATAAGGTCTAAGAATATATCAATTTTAAAAAAAAACAAGTAATATAAAATCTTATTTTAGAAAAACTCTTAATTG